CTCCAGCCACCATGACGTGTGCAGCCTGTGCCAGATGGGCAGCGTTACATGCAGCATGCTGTTCCAAGACCCAGAAGCAGCACTGCAGGCTGGATGATGGGGATTTACAGATCCAGCCTGCAGACTGTATGTTTGAATCCCCAGTATAAGCCAGTTGCCTTCTACTACTATACTGACAAATGTCTCACTGCCTGCCAAAGATGGCATACCTCAGTTGTATGATGTCTTAGCTAGAGCATGGAAAAACATTTGAGACAGTCAATATATAGAGAAAATATTTTTAAAGATAACCCTTAAAATTCATTTAAGTATTATTATCGAGAATTGCAATTTATGAGAACCTTAATTAAGTGATATCACAATTTTTGTATTAATCTTTAACTGCCTTCGCATTAAGGAGAAAATTATAATGAAAAAGACAAAGTAGTGCATGTTTTGAATATGCAACATGAGGATATATCCTCATTTCAAAAGAAAGAAAACAAGGACTGAATGGGCATCAGAAACTATATTACTACCGATATATTATTATCTCTGATATAGTTACATCATTTAACACCTTGTTCTATCTTGGCATTTTATGTGATAATCACAGAATCATAGAAATTAAGGGTTGGAAGGCACCTCGAAAGATTGAGTCCAACCCCCTACTCTGGGCAGGAATAGTGCTGAGATCAAATGATCCCAGCAAGGTGTCTGTCCAGTTTTCTCTTGAAGACTTACAAGGTTAGGGACTGCACCACCTCCTTGGGAAGTCTATTCCAGATTCTGGTCACCCTTGCCGTAAAGAAGTTATTCCTTACATCCAACCTGAAACTATCCTCTAACAGTTTATGGCCATTGCTCCTTGCCCTCCCCTGAGGCACCCTAGTGAACAGTTTCTCTCTCAGCTCCCAATATTCACCCCTTACATACTTATAGACAGCCACCAAGTCCCCGCTCAGTCTTCTCTTTCCCAGGCAGAACAGTCCCAGATTCCTTAGTCTTTCCTCATAAGGGTTGTCCTCCAGGCCCTTAATCATACTTGTGGCCCTTCTCTGGACCCTTTCAAGATTCTCCCCGTCTTGTTTGAAGTGCAGCACCCAGAATGGGACACAGTACTCCAGCTGGGGTCTCACCAATGCTGAGAGGAGGTATCACTTCCTAAGCCCTGCTTGCGATGCATCGGCTAATGCATCCCAGTAGGCTATTAGCTTTGTTGACTACAGCATCGCACTGGTGGCTCATGTTCATCCTGTGATCAACCATAACCCTGAAATTCCTTTCAGCTATTGTGCTGGCCAGGACATCTCTTCCTAGCCTATATTCATGTTGCTGGTTACTTCTCCCCAGATGAAGCACTCTGCATTTATCCTTATTGAACTGCATCTGGTTCTGCTTCGCCCACTTTTCCAGCTTTTCCAGGTCCACTTGGATTTGCATCCTACCCCTTAGTGTGACCACTTTTCCCCATATCTTAGTATCGTCTGCAAGCTTTGCCAGCATACTTTCCACATCCTTATTTAAATTGTTGATAAAGATGTTGAACAGCATGGGTCCAAGAACCTTGTGATAAGACATACTAATAATCATCACTATATTCTACAGCGATATGATCCTGAACTGAAGTATTAGATAGAGTTTAAGTTTCTTGGGGCATGGGTCACTGTCTTTTTTGTTATGTTTAATGTTTGTACAGTACCTAGCATAATAAAACCCCCATCCATGACCAAACTGCCAGGCACTACTATAATTATATTTTAGAAGAGTTACACGAAAGAATCCATGTTAACATCTTTCAGTTCTGATTAAAGTGAAGTAGAACACTAAAAGTAAGATTACTGTACACATCTCAAAATAGAAATGGACCTGAATAAAAATATGGATCCAAAACATGCCTGCATTTTGGATGCTTGAAATTCAAATGAAATTGTGGTTTGCATGTGTTATTATATATAGCAATTGCCATATATATTTGTGCCAGTGTCATTAGTAAAGAAAAAAAAATTGTGGGTGCAGCCTTAAGCATAGGTGCCTAAGAGCTCGTACTTACATTTGAATAAATCATGTGGCTGTTCTCATTGTTAGTTAGCAAGATACCTAAGCATTTTTCTCACTTAGGGTTTTAGACACTCATAAGTCACACCCAAACCAAAATTGTAAGTGTTTATATGCTCTGAGGATTGGCATGACACAAAAAACAGAGCACTTGGAGCACTAGATAGAGTAATGAACTACTTTGCCCAGCAATTACTGAAACAGCCATGGAACATTCAATTCATTCTTGAAACATAACAAAAAAAGTTTCAGGTTCACTTGGAGAATAGCCATATAGCAAAAACCTGTTAGAACAATGTAATGTACAGACAGGACAAACCAAGAGTTTTGGAAGAGTTAATTCAGTAATAATAATTTTAAATATATATCCCATTTCAGTTAACTTTAATGACTTAAATATAATCCAACTGCTTAAACAATAGTTTCAAAATATGGTGCATCATCTTAACACTTGCTGGACTATGAAAGAAAGCTCTCTTATATTTACTTACATCTGCATGTGACGGATTATGGGCTTTATTGTAACATTTCTGTGTTGACCCTGTTCATGTCTCAGTTTTCCCTTGTTTTTCCCTAGCTAACCTATGAAGGGGGAAAGAATGGGTTAGAGAGAAAATGAACCCAGAAACAGGACAGAAGGCACTCCCATCTATACAGAATTGAATAGCTTTGTTGATATACCAACAGAAGTCGGGAATGCTAGTGATGCCCAAGAGACTTTTAGGAACGCTAGAAGAGGGACACTGAACCATTAGCAAGCAGGCTATTGTTTAAAGGAGACAGTCTGCAGAGGGCCTGACAGAGCAGCCTTGGGGTTCAGAAGCAGAGCAGACTGAAAAGAACAGGGAACAACCTTTGGGGGTGCTCTGAGCTGTGTGGATGGGACTGGGGACAGAGGCTTAACCCTTTGGAGGGGGCCTTTGCCCCCAATAAATGTCTGTACTAAAGCAGAGCTGTCCATCTGCTGCTTGGAGCTTTGGGTTGCACTTGTTCTCCCCAACAAGAGGTAAAGTTAATCCCTCAGGAGCAGAACTACACGCTAGCTCCCCAAGTCATGGCTGACAAAAAGCAGGGAGGCACCAAAAGGCCAGGGTCTCCATTTTGTGAAATGGGCACCCCGCGCATAACACCCCCGCCTCAAAAAGCAAAACAACAAGAAAATGGATACCGTTTCACAAAACAAGCATCCTGCACATCAAAAAAAAAAGCAGAAAAAAAGCAAAAAGCCGAAACAGACTGCGTTTTGCGAAACAGGAACCCCGGGTGTCAAAACCCTCCCCAAAACCAAAGTATTGACTGTTTCATGAAATGGGCACTCTGCACATCAAACCCCCCTCCCCCCCCCCCCCCCCCCCCCCCCAGCACAAAATTGAAAAATTGACTCTGTTTTGCAAAACAGGCACCATCTGCATAAAAAAAAGGAGAAAAAAGGGAAAAATGGACTCTGTTTTGTGAAATGGGTGCCCGGCACGTCAAAAAACAGAAAAGGATAAAAACCAAAAATGGACCCTATTTCGCGAAATGGGTACCCCGCGCATCAAAAAAAAGCAAAAAAATTGAAAAATGGATTGCGTTTCGCAAAACAGGCACCATGTGTGTAACCCCCCCAGCACAAAAATGAAAAATTGACCCTGTTTCATGAAACAGGCATTCTGCACATCAAAGAGCAAAAAAATGAAACAAGATGGACCCCTGCACATCAACGCCCCCCCCCCACCAGAAAAGTAGTGGAATGGAACCCGGGGGCCATCCTGTTCTAGAAGCCACAGCTGGACTGGCTTCTGGGGGCACTCTCAGAGAGCAGACAAGGCTGCAGTGGTTTTGAGCAAGCACCCACAGAGTGACACTGCACCATTTTAAAGACTAAAATGGGATATAAAAGGATATCTACAGTAACTATAGCAGCACAGACAGGCAACAGGATAATCTCATTATTTATAATGGAAAATTGATGCAATAACAAGACAGCTGGAACCAAAAGTGATATATGCTGACCACAGAAACAACATTAGTTTCTCACGCTCACTGGTCAGGGATTATACTTTTCATAAATTCTGCGGATGCAATGTTAATTATGCTACTATAATGCTGCTGTCAAACTTCAAAGCTTTTTAAGTTTACGCTGAAGCAAAAAGATGGCATATACCAAGTGAGTATACCAGTTAGAGGATATGCAAAAGAAAGTTTAATATAAAAATCAGCTAAACTTTAAAGATGCCAGTCCAGTGTAATGTGACAAGTTGTGTAATATATATTGTCAAAGGAGGATGTGACGCATGCTTGAAAAATGTGTACAAGCCCCTTGCCCTAAAATGCATTATTCTTTCCTGGAGAAAAAGTTTGTGCATTGCACACATTTAATGCAACAATTTAATCATCTTTCAAAGCTCTTCATCAGAATCTGCACTGGAACCTGAATTGGATATGAGTGAGAATTGCTTTTCCTCGTGATGAATTGGTATACAAATGTGTGCATAAACTCCAGGCTGTGATTAAAAACCCATAACTGAGACTATGGGTGGCACTGTCAATTTAAGTGTTTTGAGGCCTAGCAAGGTAAAAACATGTGTTTTGGGTTTTTTTCAATTTTTTTCCCTCCTGACTTTGTTAAAAACTTGACATTCTTCTAACATACTTCATAATTAGTATTCCTTTACTGGGGATATGACGATCTCCACCTGTAGCACAGAGATCCTTTTATACCCCATTTTAGTTTTTAAAATGGTGCAGTGTCACTGGGGGTGCTTGCTCTTGACCACAGATGATAGGATAAATTGGGATCACTGTCTGCTCTTCCTGAAATGCACTGACTGGGATTTTGTGAAAAACAAATATGCTTATAGGGAGTCTTAAATATTCTGCTGCAATTTTCACTTAAGAAACAACAAATCCAAAATATTCAGTAATGAAAGTTTATGAAAGAAGCTCACTGAGAATGTATAAACTAAGATATAAAAGCCATTTATTCCAAAAAATGCAGTGGTGTCAAATCATATACACAAGCCAATATTGTGCTACAAAGACCAAACAACTCTAAAAACAGACATTGGAGTGTTCACATGTCAGAGTACCTGAAAAGACTGCTAATAAAAAGGAGTCCATAAAGTATTCATTTCCACTTTCCTTATGTGGCTCCTGGATGAATGTCTTTGCCTAAATTAGCATACAATGAGCCAGAGGTAGAGTCCCAAGTAAAGCATCTAATGCCTCAGGGCTCCAGTAAAAACCCTTTTTCTCCCTAAACAAAAGGACAGTCTAGCCTAGAGTTTTCTGTATGACACTGAAGTAAAGTCTCTTGCTTGAACAGTACGACATTTCCAAAGAGCATTCGGCAGTCGTCTAGAGATTGTGCTTTGTTGAACCGTCTTAGTTTTCCTCACCTTCAGATTCTGATTCTAGGAAGTAAAGAAAAAAGGGTAAAATGTTTCATCTCCATGAACAGGTCTCAAAATAACAATTACACAGATATGCCTTTAAATAGCAAAAAGACACCGTCTCAAAATACAAATCTATATTTGCCTTCACATTTTCTAGGAGGGAAATGTCAGATTGTATGAAGCAGATCAGCAAGAAACATACTGCAGCATATAATTTCACCTTTTAAATAACACTACCTCAATTTCAGATTTAAATAGTTTTAACCTGGAAAAAAATAACCCAGCATGTAAATAGGACCTACCTGACATGCAAGACAAATGAACTCCAATATGCAATGGATAAATTTTAAGAACAGAATTACTGATCTGCTATTCTAATCTATAAATTGAGGCCGAGTCTGGAACATGAGGTATAAATTAATCGTTACCATGGTTACTGAGTGCGAACAAAGTTACAAGTGTTACTACACTCTGAGAATGCATCAAATGTGAAACCTTTGTTAACAGCATGCTCTAAAGACACCTACCTAAAAATCTATATGAAGCAATATCTACATCCAAACAGTCACCTAAAATCCACTGAAAGTTTATGACAGTCCTTTTATCTCTAATTGATCTTGGAGAAAAATGCATGCTGTTCATGCATATAAAGTTTCAGATCAAGCTTCAAGAACATGCATACCATATTTATTCTTTTAGATCTTGTACGTGGTATTTAATTAATCCACTGTTACTGTACTTACTATACCAAAGAATAATGGGAAGAAAAATACTAAGGCAGATATACAATTATAGAAGTAGAAGAGGACAGAGGGGGATGTGAGACTACAGACTGCAATGCAAAATTTTGGTTAGATCCAAGTTTAATGTTCCAAGATACAAGTTAAAAAGGACTATCTTTCAGTCTTTTTAGCAGAATTGCTCTAATGCCATGTGTATTACAGGATATTACATATTTCCTACATAAGATCCTGGAGGGGACATGGGGAGTCAATAGTATTTGATATCTTAGTACGTCTGTGTATAATGCTGAGGACGAATCAATAGCTCTTACAAGAATGAAGAAAACCCAAACAAATTATCAGTTTGAACTCTGCAAAAGAAACAGTGGGCAAGTGAACATGCAGAATTACATTCCTACTAATCCACTATTACTGGATTAATCTTCAAGGATTAATATTACTGGATTATTCTTCATCTCGCATTTAAAATCAGAAAACAAAAAGTTTTCCCTATGTAGGCCACCCTGAAGAAGGAAATCTGGATCCACAGGACTGTGCCTTTATTTTACTCGCTATTATTCCCGTTTTTAACCATCACTCAAGTCCTTGTGGTTTAAGGGTATGCATGGACCTAAAAAAAATAAGTGATTTTTGCATGTGCTAGTACAATCTAGTTAGATGGTTAAAGAAAAGACTACATTAACAGCATGGGCTTTAGCTGTAAAAACCCTCCAAAGACTCTGGGTAAGTACTCTAGTTATTAGCACATGCTAGAGCACATACTCTAGCACACTACCACTGCCACTTCACTGCTACTGTAGCCCAGTGGAGCAATTCAAATACTGTTTCAGATGCTAACATTAGATTTTCATTTTCCAGAATTGCTCTCTTCCTGCAGGCACAGTGTTATTCAATGAGTGGAATAGGAAAGACCTCAGGAGTTCACATGGACACAATTATCATGATGATGGAGTAGTTAGTTGTGTCTGTTTTTTAACATCTAAAGTTCCAGGTAGTTTGGAACTGGTATACTCAGTCTTTTACTATATGCTTATACAATACCAGGCACGATAGGGTTGTGTTCCTGGCTGGTTCAACTAACAAAGAGATGCTTATGTTGATCTGCCAGGAGACTATCAAATATCTTAATTGAAATGAAACTGTACCTTCTTCAGCATTTTGCAGCCACTCAACAAATTTCTTCATCTGGTCAAGAAAAACACTTTTGCCTTTAGCAACATGTGCTTCTTTGTACCACTTCAGTATAGCTTCTTCACTCAGGACATCAGCTATAATTCAGAGCAGTGATTGAAAGGTTAGCATATATATTTATAGGTTAGTTATATATTTATAAGATGCAAGACCTTAAGGAAAGAAATAATACAAGTTACTTCAATCACAGTGAAGTCAGCACTGTATTTGACACTGTATTTGAACTCCACTTCATCAACTTCCTGGATACTAAAAATCATGGACTAAATATAGACATTGGATTTATGACACATTATAACCTGCCTGACATCTGACTCCCCAGGTATCTCTCCACTTATTCATCCCCCTTCTCTCTCTCTCTCCCCCCCCCCCCCCCCCCCCCCCCCCCCCCCCCCCCCCCCTCTCACCTCTC